ATTGAACTTCCAAAGTAGCCATAATTTCCACACACACAAGCAAGGCATGAGAGCGGGACAATAGGCTCTTAATACTGTAGGACTTCAGTTTTTGCCAATCTGGAAGACGGTGAAATGGTACTCCGTTTTGTCCTGTTTTCATTTGCAATTCCCTGATTATTAGTTGAGTCGATCATCTGTTTATGCTTACAGACCATACACTTTTTTCTTCTGTGGTTACTTGTCCATAGCCTTTGTTCATTCTCATGTTTGGTTATTAGTTTTATGGTTTAGAAGAATATGACATACATTCTGCGTGTGAGTTCTTTTTTCGCATACATATGCTGCAAATGCTTTCTCCACAAGTTTTGCTAGTCTTTTGATTTTATTTATGGAGATTGTCATCCATCTGAAATTTATCTTTAGGATGTGGCATAGGTTTCTAACTTATTTTCAATACGAAAACCCAGTTGTCTTAACATCACTTACTGAACATTCCACCTTTTTTTTTCCTTTGGAGAGTTACAAAGAACATACAGAAGAATACTGAGTAGTAAATTATTGACACACTACAACGAAATCTGACCCCACCGCCTGTTTTTGTATGCCTATAAGCTGAGTAGTTTTTACATTTTGTAATGATTGGGAAACATTTTTTTAAAGAGTAATATTTAATGACATGAAAATTATGTGAAATTCAAATTTCTGTGTCTGCAAGTAAAGTTTTATTGGAACACAGCCAAGCTAGAATATTAATTATCAGCCCTGTAGAGAAAACATTTGCAGACGCCTGTTCTGTATTATTCATGGACATTTTTTTTTTTAATGGTCAAGAGTATACACATTAAATTCATGATGGTGAAGGAGGAGGAGAAGAGGGGAGTGGAACTGAGGATAAACGTCAAAGGGTACTGTAATGTTTGTAAACATGAAAAAGCAATGGTCAATTCTGCCTGGTGGAAATACAAGTATTTGTTATATGAAGTTCTTGTACCTTTCTGTGCGCTTTTTTAAAAAATAGACTTTTTTTTAGAGCAGTTTCAGATTTACAGCAGAATTGAGCAGAAAATACAGAGTTCCCACATAGCCCTCCCCACCCACACATATATGCTCCCCTACCCTCAACATTCCTCACTAATATCTTTCTGTGCTTTCTTTAAAAGCCTCAGAAAAACTAAAAAAAGAACAAATATATTTTGTAGACAATATTCTATATCAATGCTTATAAATCCGTCATATGTTTTAGTGGTGGAGAGGAACCTATTTTATAGATAACAGAAATTTCTTCTTGAATCCCCTTGTTTATGGATATTTAAGTTGCTTCAGTTTGTTAGATGTAACATAATATTCAAAATAGTTCATGAAACAACAAAACTTACACTTTACCACAGGTATGGAAGTACATAGAATATGTGGTTTAGATCTTGACTATGGCTTTTAAAAAAAATTTAATTGTAGTTGATTTACAATGTTAGTTTCAGGTGTACAGCAAAGTGATTCAGTTATACATATACATACCTACATATATTTTTTCTTTTCAGATTTTCACTCATATGTAATTAAAAGAGATTGAATGTAGTTCCATGTGCTATACAGTAGGTCCTTGTTGTTTATTTATTTCATATAAAGTAATGTGTGTCTGTTAATCCACAACCCGTAATTTACCCCTGCCCTCTCCTGGGCCTGCCCTCTCCTGGGCCTGTGCTCATATAGGCCATTCCACGTATAGGTGACATTGTGATATTTGTCTCTGTCTGACTTACTTCACTTAATATAATCTCAAGGTCCACCCATGCAGATTGTTTCAGTTTTCCTGTCACAACTGGGACAGCAAAGGTCTCCATATTGCATCTTAAAGCATTTGTGTAATTATTTCTATTGAACAGACTTCTAGAAGTTGAACTCCATTGGTCAAGAAATGAATATTTAAAATTTTGAAATATGTTGCCAAATTGCCCTTCCAAAAAGTTGCTTTGAGTTATTATCTTGAAAACAGAGATTATTAATACTTTTGCTAAACTGCTAGGTGACAAGTGTTGTCATTGTGGTTTTAACTTGAGGCTCAGGCTCTTTCCATGAATTTACAAGTTTATTTGATTTCTTTTTCCCTGCATTGCCTGTTTAGGTCCTTAGAACTTCTCTCTTTTAAATTTTAGTCTTTTTCTCTGATTGATTTTAGAACTCTTTTATGTATTAAATATATTCTTTCTTTGAAAACAATTCATCTGCATTTTCCTTTATTAACTTTGTTAACAGTCTTCTGCCACTTAGGAAGCCTCAAATCACATACAATCACTGTAAAACTTTTCCTTAGCTTTTCGCTTTGTTTTCTCTGTAGTTTTTTGATATTCCAAGGAGAGAACTGCTTTGGTAGCTAATGGTCTCCATCATCTCCCAGGACTGTTGACCCTTCCAAGAGTTCTCTGGGGTTGAAAGTGCACTTGGGGTAACCAATGCCTTCCTTCTGCTCCAGAAGGATGTATGGTTCTATCCTAAATGTTTTGCCCCATGTCATAGGAGTTTGGTCAGGAAATAGAAACCACTCTGAATATTATAAATTGGGAGGGATTTCTTGCAGAGACTGAGAGCTTTGTTTACATGGCCACTGGAAAGACTGGAGATGTGAAGGTCAAGAAGGTCACTGCCGACAGATCAAGAAATCTGGACATTCAGAACTTGGTCTCAACAGCCGGAAGCACCAAAATGTGTGATTGTCAATGGATACTTGAGAGTCACAGGAAGAGCATCATATATGTCACTGTTGATGCCCACGTGCCCACCAGAATATAATGGCTTCTCCATCTTCTCCTCTTTCCAAGTCTCTCATGAGCCTATCATTCAGCCTGAATCCTACTTGTAAGAGGGTCTGGAAAATGTATGTTACAGGCTCTCGGACTTTTGCCAGAAAGAAGAAAGCTTAGAAGGGCAGAAATTGTGCTCAATATTTATAGATATTATTGCCTGGAGGTTGTTTTCAGGAAAGACCAGATCAAATGGAATCAACATTCCCCATGCATCAAAGGTTCACTGAGCATCAGTGTGCAAGAAATAGCACTAAGCTCTGTGTTGGGTTGTTTGGCGTGAAAGGATCTTGTTCAGAAAAGGAATGTGAGAAACTAGGAAAGGTCACTTTCACAATCAACATGTATATATTTCACTCATTTGAAATTTTATGACATTACAATATTAGATGTAAAGTCAGTGAATTCATGAAAATAATAAAACAGAACTTTCAAAAGGAGACTTGTCCACCTTAAATATCAAGGAGAGGAGGATACACCTAGATCAAAACTCATCTCAGTAAAGAGAGACCTGGGGCAGTGGGGTTCTTCTCTATTATAATCCTTGCACTGGGGATGGAGTTAGTGAAGTCTACTCATTTGTATTCTTGGTCCTGAAGAAATTTGTCACTAGAAAACAACTCACAGTTTACCTTTTTTCAATTTAATTCTATTATATTTTTCACGGTTTATACTTTTAATCAAGTTATTACACAGTTCAACCTTATAATAGCAGAAAAGATGCCTCAGGAGTTGCAGAAACAGAGTCATGTTATTTTTCTCCAGCAAAATAAAGCCAACTGGGAGCAGATATTTTTGTGTCTGCGAGGTCCTTTCCAGTTCTTGGAGATAGGCTGAGTTTCCAGGTTTCTAATTAAGAGGTACTTTTAAAGGGTTGTATTGCTGCAAGATTTCTGTTGTATATTCTTAGCTTATAAAGCACTTCCACGTTCATTTATCTCATGTGATCTTTATGATTTTGATCACCTGTGAAAGAGAGAGGGGGGAAAGTATCCTCAGCCTCAGTTTACAGAAGAAATTGAAACTACAAAAGATGAAATGAATTGCCGAAGAGCACCCAGTCAACGCTGACAAGATCCTTTCTCTCTGAGTTCTGTGATCTTGCCTAGATGCAAATAGAAATGTTTCTCTTTTCAATTTTATGCTCTAGTCTGTAAGATGCTCCAGTTCTTTGCCAGATGTGTGCATTTTGGGTGAGGATTTCCAGAACTTGTTTTTTTCTTTTTTAAAAGCCCAGAAACATCAAAAGCATAAGATTTTAAAGAAGGAAATTTGTAGTTTTCTACTAATATGTCAAAGTGTAAATTTTAGGTTAAGACTGAGTATATATAATTTTTTCTTTTTTAAACAGTCTGTAATCATATGAAAACTCAACTGAATGTTAATTACATGTATGTTTTGGCCTCACTTAATAGAAGTTAAAAGTTCATTTGTAAGGCATTTATTATAGAGGCAAGGAGGAAAAATAAAATGCCTACCAAAGAGAACACATACAAATAAGGTGCCCTAGTATAAATGTCTTTTGCAATTCATTAGCTATATACTGATGGAGCTAAGAACCTTGTGGTTAGAACCATGTGGGAAGTACCTTGACTGGGAACCAGGAGTGAAAGAAAAGATACCTGCTTTTTATTAAGACCTGAAGTGTGTCATAATTGGGTTGAATTTCTACCCAGATGGTCCTCCTCATGCTGACATCTGCAAAGTGTGTAGAAAACTGTGTTGAGGTGTAATTTTCTGTGGCTGTGTGGACACACGTTGCTCAGTTGAAAACCAAGGTCTTGGAGTCCCTCAAGCAGACTCCTGCTAACCTGTGCTGAGAAAAGCTGTGCTTCCTGACCCAGGGAGATTCTCAATCATTTCATTATAGGAAAAGATTCAGAATTCTTTAGAGCAGTTATCAATGTTTGGTCTTTCCTCTGATACACATCAAAGATAAAAGTGCAGATTTAAGACCCATAGAGTCCATATCAAGTTTACAGTACAGTTACCCCTGAAAATATAAGTTATTTTAAAGAATGCTTCTTTTAAAGTTGTGAAATGTCATGTTCAAATATGTATTTTCACTTGATTGGTAGTTTTCTAGCTTAGTCTTAATCAAAGAGAAACGCTCCATGTGTATGAAAATTGTGTTTCAAACAGTTTTAACGGGTAAATTCATTATCACATATTGGCTGCCGCGTTTTACAAGCTGTTAACAATCCATGTCCTCCTTGTCAGACAACAGGAAGATCAGAGTAAATGGAACCAAGGAGCCTATAGAATTTAAATCGAATCAGTGGTTTGGAGCAACAGTGAAAGCTCACAAAGGGAAAGTGGTGGTAAGTATCAGCCGAGGGCTAGTTGGGTTGCTTTGGAATCATGTGTGCCCCGAAATGTTTTAGAATTTGTATCTACAAAAATCCATTGATGTATGATCACACGAGGATTTTCAAAGATGAGCTTATCAGCATTCCCCCCCCAAAAAAATTAGTGCTTAAAATTAAAGAATCTATTTTCGTCTTCTTTAAAGCTACAGGCAGTTAAACTTGTCTTCCAGAAAATTGGTTAGACCTTTTCAAATATTTCAAAGCAAATAAGGAAGATAGGATAATAAAAGCTTGATCTGAAATAGGTAAGTATTTTATTGCTTAAGATTCGTTTAAAGGGCTGATTAAAATTTGACCAGAGAAATAGGATTAGTACTGCTAGGATTCTTTAAAAGTTAATCTACTGTGATGTCACTGACCCTCTTTAGAACTATGGGAAAGTTTTCTTTAAAAATATAACTGCTGGGAAGAGGGTATAACTCAGTGGTAGAGTGTGTGCTTAGCATGCAGGAGGTCCTGGGTTCAATTCCCACCACCTCCATTAAAATAAATAAATCAAATTACCCCCCAAACTTAAAAAAATTAAAAATTATATGTGTGTGTATATGTGTGTGTGTATATATATATATCAATTATATATATGTATCAATTACATGACTCTCTGAATACAGTGATACTTTTAAAGTAAAATTTCTACCTCCCAAGTATAGATCTTTAGGCTTTAAAATGCTATGAGTTTATGATTCTCTTCTCTGTGGTTCTGAGTGATAATAGATATCTAATTTATTGAGAAATAAATGACTGGATTAAGCTGATCTAGATTTTTTTTTTAACTGTTGGCTCTAATTTCCTTACGAACTAAAGCAGTAGCTTTGGCTCTTAGAATTTGTTTAAAGTTGTTTGAATTATGATCTTATAAGAATAAGTATCAAAAGGAAATGCCTTGCTTTCTTTGGGTCTGTGGTTAACCCCCCAAAGAGATTTTTGAAAGAAAATAGGTAATGTATAAAATATAAATAGCCCTCTTTAATTACAAATCTAGAATTTACAATAGGCTGGCTGTAGAACTGTATTTGCATCAACAGTTTTCACTTGGTAAAAAATGTTTTTATCCTTTAGTGATTTATGATATATACAAAAGCTAATTCCATCTAATAACTATTTGGGGTTAAAAAAATCTTTCAGTACTGTATTGATTTTTATTGTCTTGAAAATGTGTAGCATCATTGTTGTGTGTTTACTCAATATTTGTAGGTGCCTTCAGAATCATTGAAAATAAAACAACATACCACATTCATAATAAAATGGTTAATTTGAGGGCATGCTTGCATTTTCAAACTAATGTGATAGAAAATAGGATAATAGTACATTTCAAGTACATTTTCAAATGTAATAAAGTACGTTCAAGGTAATTTTTGCTTTGAGCACTTAAACTCAGCAGAATACGGAACTAAATTTCACCCTGTGTGACAGCTATTAGAACTGCAGAATGCTGTGAGCAGAAGGATCATTCTGAATATTCAGGTATCATGTGTACATGAGATTTGGGTCAAAGTCTGAATATTATCACGTCATCATGTTTCACATCAGTGTGAAACTGAGCAGGTATAAAAAAGATAACTTTTTAGGGCTGACAGCAGGCAAGGACTGGAAAGAACTGTCGTGACGTTGAAAGTTTCTATGGTGCTATAGAAAGTGAGACAGGTTGCCTTATACTGAGCTACACAAGTAATGCTTTCCCTCTCCAGGCTCCTACTTCCCACCGTTCCACCTTATGTTAAATGTCTTAACCACCTAGCTTGTCAGTTCACTAATAGGGCCCTAAGTTAAGGGAACTTATATGAGTTAGCCCAAGACCTCACACTATAGAGAAAGACGAAGCCCTCAAAAAACTTAAATTGTAGAAGCACCCTCATTTATATCCTTACTTATATCTCACTTGAGAATATAAGTTATCTTTACCAGAAGTCATTGCATGTTAGACTGATTACTAAGGACATGTTTGGAATCATGAAAGGATTTTAAAATTGGGAACTACCTCCCCTTTTCTGGCATTGTTTTAAGTGTGATGTCATCTAATTGGAAGAGGGGCTAGTGGTTCCATTTTCTAGAAATCTGTAATTCTGCATCCTTAGAAATGAGTGTTTGAATATTCAGATAAACTCACCTACAGAGGATTCAAGCTAGCAAAACAGAAGTCAAAAAGGTACCCATGTTTTCTACCTCTTTGTTTTTACTGTCTCTCACTCTTAGAAAACTTAATGTTATTTAACTTCCTTAAAGAGGGTTTCATATACCCTCTTTGACACTTGACAATCCTTTCAAATATCATGGTCTTCTTAGAATCCAAGCTTCTGAAGAGGCAACCAGAGGATTTCATTCAAGAATTGTGTTTTTCTTACCAATGTTTAAATTAATTTTTGTTTTGTCATGAATAAAAACCATTAAATGAAAAACAAAGTTATGGTGATAAGGAGATAGCAAGTCCAAATGTAGGTTATTGTTTAAAAAATTGTCATGTATATAGTAGCTGAACCACTATACTATACACCAGAAACTGACACAACATTGTAAACCGACAATATTTCAATAAAAAAAGTAAAACAAAATAAAAAATTGTCAGACATACCCTCAGTGATAAACTGGGGGAATCCACAAAACAGAGGTTTACAAACTTGTCTGCATCTTGTGATTTGAAAGTTGTTTTTCTTTAAGCAACAACTAGACAAAGAAAGGAACTAGTTCTCATTTTAAGACATCATACTGTTTCATTCCATGTTTCAATGTTCATTTGCTTTTATGCAGGTCCAAATAAAAAAAATAATATATGAGTTCTTGGCTTTTAGTAAATATTTACTTTGCCAGGCCACTTTTCCTTGACTTAAAATCCTGTGGGGAAAATCCCATTCCTTTGTATATGCTTAATTTGTTCCAACCCTACAGTGCATTAATGTTGAAAAACGGCCTTCAGAAGTTTAATTAGCGCTGACTACCAAGGTCCTCATTAGCATCCTGGAGACCAGTTAAGCCACCTAATAATTTAGCATTATTTGTTACAAATTCAGGTGTAACAGCTGATGAGTCAAATCAAAGCATCATAGAAGAGATTTACATTAAAAAAATTCACTGTCTTTGATGTTTCCCAGGCCTGTGCTCCTTTATATCACTGGAGGACTCTTAAACCAACCCCAGAAAAGGACCCAGTTGGCACCTGCTACGTAGCAATTCAGAATTTCAGTGCCTATGCTGAGTACTCGCCTTGTCGGAACAGTAAGTTATTTTTATTCTCAAAACTGAAATTCAGCTCAAGAGCTTTTCTGCTGTAGACAGGGCAAGGAAATCTTAAACCACCATTGAGAAGGAAAAAGCGAAGGGGTGAAGATGATTGAAGATCTTACAGGATGACTTGCTGTGACTTGGCGACCAAGACGGGGAATTCTGCAGCTCCTCTTCCGTGTTTTAGAGAAGTTCTGTTTTTAGATATCCTGCAGCTGACTTGATTGGTTCCTTATGTTAGGCCTTAAACTCTCAGTCTCTATTCAAAATTCACCCTGCATCTAGAGAATGCTGACTGCCCACTTGACTAGTTAATTGCATTAATGAGGTTGGCACGATGGGACCTGGAGGCACGTTGGATGTGAGCGCCCCATCCAGCCTGTGTTCTCAGTGACTGTTGTTTTCTTTGGCGTGATATACCTTTCTCCTTAAAGTGCTTAATCCCATTTTTCAAAAAGATGCCGTACATTTGTAGTCCACATCTCATCTGGCAGGTCTAAGACTCATCCAGTGACGTTGCCTTTAAAGCAAGCTTGTAAGTGCCACTTTGGGGGCACTGCTATTTAATCACTTCCTTTTTGGGGGAAGACTCAAGGACTTTGGGACAGCACTATTGACTGACTGCTCTATTCAGAGTCCTTTTGGCAATTCTTCCAGTTCTCTGTGTGTCATGTTGATCATGGGTATTTGCCAGCAAGAAACTGATGGATTTTCATCCTTAGTCTTGATAATTCACGAGACTATGTTGGAGAAAGAAATGGTGTTAGAAAGAAAATTCTAGTCACTGATTTCAGAATATTGATTTTTAAAAACTTAAATTAGATTCTCAGACCTCTAAAGTTTCCCTGTTTCATGTGAATATTTTTAAATTTCAAGATTAATTTAGGCCAGACAATGAGCAAGTATCAGAAATCAAACAATGAGGATAAAGAATGGATGAGTGATATTAGAGGGTTCCTAAAGACGTTCTGAGATTAGAAATCTAAAGGGCTGGGAGTTAAACAGCCAACTCTCTTGGTTTTGGCTGAGGACCTTGTCAAGGAGATTATATCTTTCTGATTTAAAGTACTGAAATAAATCAGCCACTTCTTCACGTCTTAACAAATGTCAGCTGAATGACTAGTCTGTCAGTTCAGAATTTTGCTTTAAATGGCTTCAAAACAAGTGTTCCTTGTCAAGAATGAGGCTCAATTATATATTCATTCAGCACATGTTTATTGAACACACTGAGCACTAATTATTCTGTGCTTAGGGAATAAAGCACAGAACAAGAGAAAGCAAACCTCTGTTTTCAAAAAACTTAGATTCTAGTGCAGGAGGGAGACAGCATACATGTAAGCAATTAAGTTCAGATCCAGTAATTCCAGTTGTGGGTATTTATGCAAAAGAAATGAAATCACTATCTTGGAAAGATATCTACACCCCGATGTTCATTGCAGCATTGTTTATAATAGCCAAGACATGGAAATAGCCTAAGCATGCACTGATCGATGACCAGATAAAGGAAATGTGGTATAGATGTAAATATGGATATGGATATAGATACATACACAATGGGATATTATTCAGCCATAAAAAGAATGAAATCTTGCCATTTGAGACAACATGGATGGTTCTTGAGGGCATTATGCTAACTGAAATAAATCAGATACAGGAAAAATACTCTGTAAGCTCTCACTTATATGCAGAATCTTAAACACAAACTCACAGTGTCAGTTTGAACCATTATCTAAAAATATAAATTATAGTACGCTTACATTTTGAGTTACATGGGTACACTATATTGTCCATTTATTTAGTGTTTCCTTTCCTAAATAAAAGAATAGGTTGACAAATGTGTGTCGACTGAAATAAATGTGCAGCCTAAAAGTTAAGAGTTATGTTTTATTTGGTGGGAGGACTTGAGCGGGATGGCAGCCTCTCAGATCACTCTGAGGGACTGCTCTGAAGGGGTAGGGGAGGAGCTAGAATATATAGGAGCTTTGCAACAAAGACCAGGTAGTTGGAACAATAAAAGATTGCTTGTTATCTAAAGGAAATCAGGCATCTTAAGTTAAAGAATGTAGTGCTTTTCTATATATGGGAGGAAGCAAACATTTGGGCTCACTGAATCCATTCCTTTGACAAGCACCGGGCTATCTAGGGCCAGTATCCTGTCCTTTCTTATTCTGAGTCCCCTCAGAGTGCACCATTGTGAGTGGCTGCAGAGCCTGGGCTGCTGGCCTGTCCTCACTGGGGGGTGGCGGCAGCCCCTGATGACTTGGTTTCAGCATTCTTTGCTTACTGACATGGTTGCAGTATTTTCATTCACAGGTGAAAGTGGAGTTTAGGCTGAGTTGCACAATAGCTAAACAAATGGCCGGGAATTCCTCCCACTCTAGTAGCCATCTCTAGTGTTCGCATTCTCATGGTCTCCCTCTTACTGGGAGTACTTCCTCCTCAAATGCACCCAAGGAGCAGATTTCCTGTCATCCCTAAGGAGTTCACAGTTCATTAACACAAAGCCAGCTTGTTCATGAACATATGGTCAATATCACAGAACAGGAATATCGTTTTCAAAAGAGAATTTCAAGAAGACTCTCAATGTTCACTTCACACCACGAAGCCCGTCCACTGACACTTTGAGTGATTTGGGTGGTAATCTGCTCATTCATATTCATGGCATGCCTGTGGTTCTTACGGTCATTCATAATTCACTTGGGGATGGTTTACACACACCCGTCCATTCTCCTTTGGAAGCCAACAAATAGAAGCACGGTTCTCTGGATTCCTGAGTTTGCTCTGGGACATAATTGTGAAGTTCACAGTTGCTCTGAAGTTGTGGGAAGAAAGATTCCTTTAGCTTTCGTAAACTATAATTTTAGGTGGAAAACTTACTTTGCAAAGGAAATAACATCACATTCTATTATAACATAAACATGTGAAGTTGATTATTTTCTCAATGACTTTTAGGAAAAATTACTATTTTCTCAATTTTTTTTCAGTTTCCCAGTGTGAAGCCAAATGATTTCAAAGAACGGTCATGTTTCTTCCTTTCTGAATAATTTATAGTCTTAGAAATAAAAAGTCAGAGTTGATTTTAAAAAGGACTTATAAAAAGTGAATTAAAGATACATTTCTTAAATATAGTCAAGAGTACCCATATTTGTTTACATAATCATATCATGTATTCAAATATATTTCTGTATGCATACAAATATTTAAATATATGAACTTTTAGAAAAATGGTACCTGGGTGTTTTAGGTTATACAGATGAGATTTTAGGCCACTTTATAGCATTCATAATTATAAACCACAAAATACATCATAGAATAAAATACATTGTAAGATATTGTGCACTTAAAAATTTGTTAAGAAGGTAGAGCTCATGTTAAGTGTTTTCACTACACACACACACACAAAACAAACAACCAAAAGACATATTTGTTGGGTGGCAACACAAGAATTCTTTTGGTAAGGTGATGGATATGTTTTATTTCCCTTTCGATTGTTGGGTGGA